GAGATCAAAAGCCAGCCAAGAAGCCAGGACTAGGTCCTGCAGAGCGTTCACAGTCTCAACCTCTCTCCACTCCCCTGGTTCTCCTGCTTAACTTCTGTCCTCTAATTCCCACTAGGAGGCTCCTCCCTGAGCATGCTCAGCTCATCTAGGAGCTTTGGGCATAGAGAACTAACTGAAAAGAGACTTGGTTTTCTCGTCCTACCCAACTTGTCTATGAGGCTAGTTCAGCATGACTCATGTGGGGACTGTGAACATTCTGGAAAGTTCAGCTTGCACTTGGGACCTTATAGGTCCATTACAAAGATTTCTCTTTAATACTGTTGAGACCTTCCCCTGGCCCCCAGGATTAGTCATCAGAACCAAAGCAGCTGTGGATTGCTACTGTTGAGCATGCATGCCCATTCCCCTGTCTCAGCACCCGCACTTCATCAGTATGCAGCACCAGCCATACATGGGACTGACTTAGGGCATGATGCCATCTTGCCTTTGGCTTTTATGACCCGAGAAAACCCAGAGACACATCCTTCCTCTCATATTTTCTCTGGGAGGGTCAGGGGAGGGTGCAGAGCTGGATGGTGTTCCCAGCACTCTCTGGTCTCATGCAGTGGAAATATTTCTGAGCACCAGCTGTTGGTGGGGGGTAATAAAGGTCAGTGGTAAAGCCTGGGAAGATCTCTGGAGTGGACTAGGAGGAGACCTCTATGCAGTGCTCCCGGGTTTGTGTCGCTGTCACGGAATGAGAGAAATAACTAGAAATTTATTTCAAAACACAACTTTGCACTCAAGATTTGAGTGCGGGTCTCGAGAGTGAGTGTGTCACTGGGATTCTGGGTAGCTCATTTTATGGGCAGCTTGAGCAGGGGGGAGCATTACTCATGAATCAAGGCACGGAAAATGAGGGGGATTCCGAGAAGGAATCAAGATTTTCCTAGCAGCATTTGCTCCCCTTTTCTGTCCTTATATAGGACTTTTGGATGTGACATGGCATCAGATCCATGATGGCAGCAGGCAATCCTACAAAGCTAATGGCATAGAGATGCCATTGTAATGAAGCAAGGGTCCCAGGGTGATCTAGTTCCTTACCGTTTTGAATGATCACATGGTGTCCTGCTGTAAGACAGCTCGGTGACTGTCAACCTCCAACCATTGTTTACGTATCTCCTTAGACCTATGCAGCCTACGCCAAGCTTAGGGATGCCCAGCTCACCACTCAGTTTGCCAGCCCCACCCACACTTGGGCTCAGTGCTGAATCATGGGACCATTCCTGACAGTCTTGTGATGAGAGATACACCTACCTTGCAGAGCTCCAGGACTGTGCCTCTCAAATACCCTGAGAAATTTTCTTTAAACCCATGCCCCAGCATCAAGACCTCACCTCCAGAGAGTCTGACTCATTAGGTGGGTGGATATATTCTTGTTTTAATTGAGGGGGTTTTGTTTGCTTGCTTTTACTTTTCTATAGTGAAGAACAAGCGATGAGCACAAACCTTTATCACTCTTCTACTTTAAGTGTGGCCCTTGAAGGGACAGCATCTGCCTGACCTGGGAGCTGATAGAAACGTGAAGCCCCACCCCATTACCCAGTCAGTGTGCAAGTAGTGAGGTCCTGGGTTCCATGTACACAGTCTTCTCGGCATGAGACAGTCATCTAGGGAGCCGGGGGAGTCTGGAATTCTGAGCCCTTATCTCTGAACCTGGCTCTTAAGTCTGGGCAGGAGAAGGGTTCCTCACTAAAGAAGCATCCAGATGATTCTAATGAGTTGGAATAATGGATTTAAAGCATTTTTTTTTCTCTCTGGAAAATGTGCACACTACCAGGTGAACTGTATTTTCAATCTGTTGCTCTTGTGTCCAAATATTTTCTGCTAAGGCTACTGTTGCCTGCCAAAGTCAAGTCACACCCCTTGGCCTGGCATTAGAGAGGCTCATCATCATCATCATCATCATCATCATCATCATCATCATCATTATCATCTTCTCCTCCTCCAGTTCCTCCTCCTCCAGTTCCTCCTCCTCCAGTTCCTCCTCCTCTTCCTCCTTTTTCTTCTTCAAGACAGGGCCACATCCTGTAGCTCTGTAACTCACTATGTTGCCTAGGCTAGCCTAGAACTCACAGCAGTCCTCCTGCCTCGGCTGCCCAAATGCCAGGATTAAGGACACGAGTCAGTACACCTAGCTGTCCAGCTCTTTTTCTGCCTGAAAGTTATCTGTCCCTAAGTGTTGTTTATCTTGCAAGGCCATTTTTTTTTTCTGTCAGCCCCACAATGTGTCCCTACTTCTGGCTCATGAAGGACCAACTTAGGATTGTATCACTCCCTTGGTGGGAATGAGTCCTGTAAATCACAGGATGTGACCCTATGGGCAGTAGATGGAAACATAGGCTGTGGAACCTGGCCTCTTTCCCTGAGCACGGCTTCTTTGAGCTCTGTTAGAGCGTGATCACAAGAAATCACGGATCACAGCCTTGTATCTTCCCTGGCACCACTTCTAGCTTCCTGTCAGGGCTAGTCAGGGTTCTATTGCTGTGAAGAGACACACATGACCATCGCAACTCTCAGAAAGCATTGAACTGGGGGCTTACTAACCATTTCAGAGATTCGTCCATTATCGTCATAGCATGGAGCATGTCAGCATACAGACAGGCATGTTCCTGAAGCTGAGAGCTTTATATCCTGATCTGCAGGCAGGGAAGCAGGCAGACAGAAAGAGAGAGAGAGAGAGAGAGAGAGAGAGAGAGAGAGAGAGAGAGAGAGAGA